TGTTTGGGAGATACAGTATAATAAGTCTTCTGGCCAATGGGAATGTAAGGAAGATCTGCTGAGAGACAACCGTTACTCTGAAGTAAAGCAGGGTCAAAGGGAGGGAGGAAGGAAGGAAGGAAGGAAGGAAGGAAGGAAGGAAGGAAGGAAGGAAGGAATCAATCTTCACTAAATAGTTTATTTCTTTATGGAGCTTGGTGCCACCAAATGTTATTGTATTCTTTGAAGCACCTAGTTAATGGTAGATTTGGGGATGGTTAAGCCAGACTTCTCTAACTAAATGCCCTTGACATGTCCCCAAACTCTCATCCTTGCTAGAAAGACATGCTGGCTAGGAAATTCTTGGAACTGTGGTCCCAGCACCTATGGAGGGTGCTACATTGGGCGCCATCTTGATGCTGATTCTCTTCAGCAGGACTCTTGTATCTCTGTTACAGATGGAGGTGGCAATGGGAGAAACTGGAAAAGAACCTCTCGGTTTACTGTGGGTTTCATGACACAGCTGAGTTCTGATTACAGGATTCCTGATATTCCTCCAGACTTTTGAGAAGCTAAAGATAGGTAGATATAGATAGATGGATAGATATCAATAATTTAAAGAAAAAAACAGGTTTTCTTTGAAGTGCGTGAATCTCCCCTTCTCTCTTCCTTTGGCCCTTTGTTAGGAGAGAGGATTTAATGGCAGGAATGCCACCATCTCCATTCTCCTTTCTGGAGAGCAGAATTTGTACTCTATAGGAAGAGCTGGCACTGACTTGTCCATGATTCTCCAAAAGCTGGAAAGCACTGAGGTGGGAATGAAGCGGAAGAGAAGTGGAAGAAAGAGAAAAGTTGTTTCCTACGAAAGCAACAATCCAATTTGAAACCAGTCCTACAGAAGAGCTGTGATGAAGGCTGCTCTCTTCCTGTTAATTTTTGCAGCCTAGCTGTCAGTGGATCTGTAAATAGTACCTCAACAAAGCCAACACTTTCCCATCCACACATCAACTGTTCAATTAACAGAAGAAGGCTATATAAATAAAGTGTACCTGTCTTTGATGCTCCCCAGCAATTTATGAAAGTGTACACAAATCTAATTAGAAGCCCACTGCTTTCCATTTACATGGATCCACTCAAGGTTGGGGCTGTTGATTTCAAAGTTCTTTGTTAAAAATATGAAATAAGGTGGATCTAGAGCCTGGACTTTGCTGGAAACCGTTGCTCCCCTCTTGACAGGTGAATTTCTACTAAATCAGCACTGGGTTCCAATTCTTATAGGCTATGTAGGCTGTGCCTCTGAGACTATCCACTGATTTGATTCACACCACACACTTAATTTTGGTTACTGGATTAACCCATTTCCTAGGTTTATACTGTACAACCATACAGTTACATAGTTGGAAATGATCGAGTATTGTTGTTCAAATGCAGATAGTTTAACACTAACCCCGCTTATGCATCTACTAGGTTTCTACCTGACCAGGTTAAGCATCTCGTGGGTGTGATCCATCTTATATTCACCTAAAGAGGGCCACTGGTTATGTGGCAGATTCTGATGCTCATGAAGGGGAAAGGCATTTTAATCAGGTAAAATGGCCTTTTTGGAAACTCTTAGGTACCATATGCTGTGTGAATAGAAGCCACAGAGGAACAATAATTCTGATAGCTGTAGAGGGACAGGAGTTTGCTACAGAAGCAAATGGCTTATGTCCTGACAAGAATTATGATGGATGCAGAAGAAGAGCTTGGCAGAAGAGCAGTGAATTGGCTGAATGATGGGGAGAACTTAATCACTGGCATAACAGAAGGACAAAAGTGGGTAGGGAGGTGAAACGATCAAGAGATTATGCTCATCCTGATAGAATGAACATCCATACAGTTGGATAGGACTACAGCAATCGCACAATTTAAGTGGTTCACAGAATTCATAGATCAGAGGGACATCTAACTAGACTGGTGGGCTTTAAAAGAGGACTAGGTATTAACAAAGGGTGGTCAGAGGACTAGAAACCAAGTCCTACAAAGAGAGACAGAAGGAACTGGGCATGTTTAACCAGAAGAAAAGATGATTGATGGGGCTATGATGGCATTCAAAGAAATAGACAGAAGAAGATGGAGGCCTGTTCTTTACCATTCTGGAGTGGAGGACACACAATAATGGGTTTAAGTTACAGAGTCCAAATGAATGTTAGGAAAAAAAAAATCCCCTCCTAACAGTAATGGAATAATGGAGTCAATCATTGCAGAGAGGTGGGAGGCTCTCCTTCACGGGAGAGATTCAAGGGGGCAATAGATAGTCATAGGTCTGAGGTTCTTGGGTTTGGATTCCTGCACTGAGCAGGGGTGGGATTTCATAGCATAAATAGCCCTTTCTGATCCCGTGATTGTATGCATAGATCCCTAGTTGACTGGGAGCCAAGAAGAAAAATTCTGCAACAAAGAAAACTCTGCTGTGCAAAAATCCCATTGTACTAAGATGTGATGATATGTAGGAATGACCTTGGGAGATGAGAGGAAGAGTCGCAGCCTAGACAATGGTCTGATAAATGAAATCTGAGTCTGAAAGAGAGATGGGGCTTTTGAAAGCATCTCAGAAGGGACCATCCTTAGTTCTCTGGGAAGTAAAGGCAGGGAGGTGGGGGGAGTGCTTTCAGACTTGCAAGATTCTGTTAATGTAACCTTACAATAAGGGTAGTGTTAGCACTCAGGGCTGGTGCTTCTTGTCTGAACTACCTTGCAAGGCTGACCCAGTAAGACCATGAAAAGTACAAACTCTAGGGTTGCCCCGGAGAATTTGGTTCCAGAAGTATTCTTATACTTCTGATCCAGGGAAAAGAAAGGATTCTGGATTTCTTAAAATAGGCCTGTTATAAGAAGGACCCATTCAGTAGAAATTCCATCCTTGCTTGTACCACGAGAAGCTTTTGCCAGTTACGGTTAGGAATGCAGTTCTTGAAGGCTGTCTTAAAACCCCTGCATACTTCAGCAAGACTGCATTCCTTCCCTGTATTTATTTATGTCAAACATGGAGTTTCACTGATTCTGGAATCAAACCACAACAGGGAGGGATCCGCAGGGAAGGAGAATAACAAAATTTGCAGAATTAAAAAAAAAAATGTTTGGAAAACTAGAAGAGGGAATCCTTCCTTGGTCAGCTGATAAAGGACTCGCCATTAGGAAGAAAATGAC